GCAAAACACGCATCGTTACTGCAAACAGCAGCGCTTAACCAAGGTACTGTCACAAGGTACAAGCATGGACGGCTTCAAAAGGGAATTAGATAAGCATACGGAGCAGAGGTCCATCAGTGGCTATTAGCCACAAGGTATAGATAGCACAAGGTATGCTTGGGGTGGGGGGGGTCAACAGTGGGAGGGCTTCTAATGTCCTGGCCCCACTGGTGGACCTCTTGATGGCCCCTGGTATTTCTGGCCACTGTGTGATACAGAGTGTTGGACTGGATGGGCCTTTGGCCTGATCCAACATTGGCGTCTCTTATGTTCTTAGATGATAAGAAGGTGGATGATAGGGAGGGCTGGTGGCCTAGTGGGAGAGAATCTGGTTAACGTGCAGAAGGTCCCAGGTTCAATCTGGACTGGATGGGCCATTGGCCTGATCCAACATTGGCATCTCTTATGTTCTTATGTTCTTAGATGATCAGAAGGTGGATAATAGGGAGGGCTGGTGGCTCAGTGGGAGAGAATCTGGTTAATGTGCAGAAGGTCCCAGGTTCAATCCCCGGCATCTCCAGTTAAAAAGGACCAGGCGGCAGGTGACGTGAAAGACCTCTGCCTGAGATGTCAGTCTGAGTACACAAGACTGATTATTTTTGTGGGTTTTTTTGTATTTTTATATGTCCGTGTGCGCGCGCATGCACCTGGAAGTCATGATGACCTCTGGTGACTGACCCCTACTGGGGGCATGGAGGATATACGGCAAGGTGGCCTTTTATTATTCCTCAGGGCCTGTAAAACCGAGCTGTTCCACCAGGCCTTCGAGTAAGACAGCAGGCGTCCGTTTTAATTGGCCTCCCTTGCTTTCGTTCCCAGTTTACCAAAATGCTCTGATTTCAACTGCGAACAGTCCTCTTCTTTTTATGCAATTTGTTGTCGCTAATGTAATGTAATTTTATGGTAATAAGTCTCTGACTCTGCTTGCTGTGATATGCCCGTTTTGGGAAGGGCAGAACAAAAGTCCGATAAATAAACAAACAAACAACAACCTTAATAGTCCTCTTCTTCTTACGTAACTCGCATAACAGTCCTCTTCTTTTTATGTAATTTGTTGCCGCCTCTGAATTGTACTGCTTTGATGATTTTAATGTAATGTCATGTTATGGTAATAAGTCTCTGACTCGGCTTGTTGTGATATGCCCTGAGCCCATTTTGGGGAGGGCAGAATAAAAGTCCGATAAATAAACAAACAAACAAGTAAATAATAAAGCCTTCCCCTCGCCTTCTGGCTCTGGTACTCCTTGGAAGTCTGATAAGACCAAAGAAAACTGTGCAAAAAGACACGAAGAAAAAATATATAGAGAACAATTTACTCATGAGTAACACAAGTAGAACTGGTAGTAATACAACTAAGAATACCACTTAAGTTGTTGTTGTTGTTCAGTCGCACAGTCGAGTCCGACTCTTCGCGACCCCATGGACCAGATCACGCCAGGCCTTCCGGTCTTCCGCCGTCCTCTGAAGTTTGCTCAACTTCACTTAATTTTGTAATACCACTTAAGTACAGCCCTTCAAATACTTCAAGAGAGCCATCATGTCCCCCATCAGCCTCCTCTTCTCCAGACTGGTAAATTTTCAACAGTCCAGCTGGTAAGTAGACAATATATTTAACTGGTAAGTCTACACTGGATGACGAAGACTCCGGATTTCGTAACTTTGTTTTGAATAGTCTTCCTCAGTAGAGGCTAAATGTAGACAACAGCGTCTTTTTGCACAGTTTTCTTTGGTCTTATCATGTTTACTGTGTAATCGCTGATTGTTTACTGTATTTCTTGGAGGTCTCCCACCCAAGTACTTGCCAGAGTCGACCCTGCTTAGCTTCTGAGATCCAACGAGATCAGGCGTGCCTGGGCTATTTTATTTATTTATTATTAAATTTATACCCCGCCCTCCCTGGATGGGCTCAGGGTGGCTAACAAATGAGGCACATAGGCCAATATTCAACAGGTAAAAACAGGATAAAACAAGCAATAAAACAATCATTCATATAAAAATACAAGGGCTCTAGATGTCACAAATAACAGATGGGGTCACATAAGAACACAAGAGAAGCCAGTGTTGGATCAGGCCAGTGGCCCATCCAGTCCAACACTCTGTGTCACACAGTGGCCAGAAATACCAGGTGCCATCAGGAGGTCCACCAGTGGAGACAGCCTGATGTCACACATGACAAAGTGGTCCCAGAGCGACACGGTAGTCTCCAGGTGGTACAGCGATCTGTCCTTCCTCCCAGGGCCGTCTCGTTCCCCGATGACACCCACTCCATTTAGTGGTGGTGGTATAATGATGGTGGCGGCTCCTACTCAAAAGCCTGGCGGAAGAGCTCCGTCTTACAGGTCCTGCGGAACTGCGCCAGGTCCCACAGGGCCTGGATCTCCTCCGGGAGCTCATTCCACCAGGTGGGAACCGCCACCAAAAAGGCCCTGGCCCTGGTAACAGCAAATTTAGTATCTTTGGGACCTGGGGTTACCAGTCGATGTTGAGTCCCCGACCGTAGTGCCCTTGGGGGAACATATGGGGAAAGGCGGTCTCTCAGGGGTCCAGGTCAGGGCTACAGAAGACTGACTTTGACGGACCAAAGGTCTGATTCGGTTAAGGCAGCTTCATGTGATACATCATCCTTGCTGATGCCAAGTTGGCGTCTTGAAAGGAGATCTTATGGGAACCCGATGTGCACTGGCCTTTGAGACTGATCACGGAAGACAAAATGGGTTCTAACAGTGCAGTCCTAGGGAGAGCTAGACCCCCTAAGCTCATTGTCATCAATGGGCTCAAAGGGGTGTAACTGTGCTCAGGAGTGCACTGTAAAGGTAACAAACCCGGTGATGAGCCAACCGCGGCAGTGTGGAATTGCAACCGGAGCTGAGCAGCTCCCAGACCCGAACGAGGCTTCATTGCAGAAGCTGGAAAATCTATCTGAAGCTGTAAATAATTTTCACATTTGGGTCCCCCCCCACACACACACATTTGTATCCCGCCCTCCCCTATGGGCTCAGGGCGGCTAACAAGGGCAAGGAATTAGCCATGCCATAGTTAAAACATATCTGGAGCTGCGGTGGCTCAAGTGGTTAAGACGCTGAACTGCAGGCTGTGGAAGGTCGGTAGTTCAGCAGTTCGAGACCCGAGTGTGCCGCGTGACGGAGTGAGCTCCCGTCTCTAGTTCCAGCTCCTGCCAACCTAGCAGTTCGAAAGCAAGAGATTGCAAGTAGATAAATAGGGACCACTTCGGTGGGAAGGTAACAGCGTTCCGTGCGCCTTGGCGTCTAGTCATGACGGCCACATGACCACGGAAACGTCTTCGGACAGCACTGGCTCTTCGGCTTTGAAACGGAGATGAGCACCGCAACCCTAGAGTCGGATTCGACTGGCTTTCGAGCAAGGGAACCTTGACTTTTTAGTTAAAACATATAAAACATAATAAAACATCCAACACTTAAAACAACGGTGCTCAATCAATGGCTAATATAAATCCAAGATGGAATCAACACAGTTCCAGGTGTGGTACTCCCAATGATATTTGCGCCAAATGGCAACGGCTTATCGGATCTTCTTTACATTTTCCAGGTTCATTTTCCAGGTTTTCCAGCAACCGATATAACCATCTCCACGCCGACGTATGCAAGTTTTCTATATCGCACGGCTATCAGCTACGCAAACGATCCATTAAGCAACTGGGCTACAGTCAGGCTGGGGTGCTCTGGTTTTATAGACCCCCTAAGCTCATTGCCATCAATGGGCTCAAAAGGGTGTAACTGTGCTTAGGAGTGCACTGTAAAGGTAACAAACCCGGTGATGAGCCAACCGTGGCAGTGTGGAATTGCAACCGGAGCTGAGCAGCTCCCAGACCCGAACGAGGCTTCCTTGCAGAAGCCGGAAAATCTATCTGAAGCTGTAAATAAAGCCAGCAACCGATATAACCATCTCCACGCCGACGTGTGCAAGTTTTCTATATCGCACGGCTTTCGCTCGGCTACGCAAACGATCCATTAAGCGACTGGGATACAGTCAGGCTGGGGTGCTCTGGTTTTACCTTCGGGTAGTGAAGGGCAGGGTATAAATCCAATCTCTTCTTCTCTTCTTCAAGTATCGTAATGGTCTCTCGTGTTCATAAAGCTATGCCGTTTCTTCCTTGGGATGCGAAGCCCCAGCTCTCCTAAAGGAATGAGGGATCTAAGGCAAGGCCCCGGCAGTTTGCAACCAGGGGGCGGACTGGCCCTTGAATCGGCCAGGGAAATCCCTGCTGTTCTTGGGAGGGGAGGGGATGTACTGGCAGCTCGGGGCAAGTCAAAACCCAGCAATGCTCCCAACACAATGCAAGAGTTAACAAAGAGATGTGAGAATGAAGCTAGAACCCAGCAGTACCCCCAAGACAAACCAAGCTCAACCCTGTGTACATGGGAGAACAGAGACAAGGTTTGAGCTTGGTTTGTCTGGGGGGTGTTGCTGGACTCCAGCTTCATTCTCACATCTTTTTATTAACGCTTGCATTTATGTCCTAATTCAGGGGTGTCGAACTCAGGGGTCATTTCCTGCAGGAGCGCACAGGAGCAGAGCTCCGGCAGTAAAGAGCCCAGGGGGCGGGCACATGCAACAAGCCCCACCCCCTGCTCCCAGCAGCCCTTAGTCAGAGCAAGAAGCAGCCAGGTAAGTTGCAGAGCCCCCCCGGTCCAAAACAATCCAGTGGTACCTTTAAGACCAAGTTTTATTTAGGTACAAGTTCTCCCTCCTCTGCGAGGGCAGATCTGCACATTCCCCCCCCCCCAGTAGCTAGCAATCCAAAACAGTCCAGTGGAGCCTGAGCGGTGGGTGTTGCCTTCAGACACGCTTCCAGTGATGTCAGGGGGTGTGGCATATGCAAATACGTTATGCTAATAAGTTATGCTAATGAGCTCCTGCACCTCTTTTTCTACGAAATGACCCCTGGTCGAACTCATTTGTTATGAGGGCCTCTATCGTACCGCTGAAATCACGCAGCGCGCCGTCTTCCACGAGCAGCAGGGGCCTGACCCGCTTCTCCTCCAGGAGGTTTCTGGCCGCCGTTAGAGATGTGAAAATCTCATCTTCCTGAATGTCGAAGTCGAGTTTCTTCAGCCTCTCCAGCAAGTCCCTCTTGCACTCCTTGGTCGTGTTGGTTACAAACCTGATTTTGACTGGAGCACTGCGCAGCCTGGGGCGGTGAAAGCAGATTACGAGAGGGTGAGTTTCCGCAACAAACTAAAAACTGCAGGTGCACCTGACTCACGCAGGGGCCAATCTGGAGCTGAACAGGAAGGGAAATCCCACAGGATACAGCTTCACAGGAACACGTGAAGCTGCCTTTGGGGAGAGGTTGTGGCTCAGTGATAGAGCATCTGCTTAGCGTGCAGAAGGTCCCAGGTTCAATCCCTGGCATCTCCAGGCAGCAGGTGATGGGAAAGACCTCGACCTGAGACCCTGGAGAGTTGCTGTACATGCTTCACTAAAGGGGGGAAGCACCATTTGTTGCACATCAGCCGATGCACAAACAGCTGCTTTGAGACAACAGGCATGAATTGGCTGTGCAGCCCAGCAGCCTTTGAGAGTCTCCCCGCCAGCAACTGGGTTTCGGGGTGGGGGTGGTCTGCTGTGCTCAGCGCCTGGTGCCATGTTCTGTCACTGGAAGCACTGATCGTGTGTACACGGCACCCCGGTGCACTTGCCAGAAACATCTCCTTCTAGCTAACAAGAAGAAGAGGAGGAGGAGGAAGAGCAGGAGGAGGAGGAGATTGGATTTATACCCCGCCCTTCACTACCTGAAGGAGTCTCAGAGTGGCTTAAGAACATAAGAGCATAAGAGATGCCAATGTTGGATCAGGCCAAAGGCCCATCGAGTCCAACACTCTGTGTCACACAGTGGCCAGAAATACCAGGTGCCATCAGGAGGTCCACCAGTGGGGCCAGGACACTAGAAGCCCTCCCACTGTTGACCACCCCCAAGCACCAAGAATACAGAGCATCCCTTGCCCCAGACTGAGTGTACCTGTCTATACCTTGTGGCTAACAGCCACTGATGGACCTCTGCTCCATATAAGAACATAAGAGACGCCAATGTTGGATCAGGCCAATGGCCCATCCAGTCCAACACTCTGTGTCACACAGTGGCCAGAAATACCAGGTGCCATCAGGAGGTCCACCAATGGGGCCAGGACACTAGGAGCCCTCCCACTGTTGACCCCCCCCCCCAGCACCAAGATGACAGAGCATCACTTGCCCCGGAGTCCCTAGCTATACCTTGCGGCTCATAGCCACTGATGGACCTCTGCTCCATATGCCTATCTAATTCCCTTTTTAAGCCGTCCATGCTTGTAGCCGCCACCACCTCCTGTGGCAGTGAATTCCATGTGTTAATCACTCTTTGGGTGAAGAAGTACTTCCTTTTATCCGTTCTAACCCGACCGCTCAGCAATTTCATGGAGTGCCCACGAGTTCTTGTACTGTGAGAAAGGGAGAAAAGTACCTCTTTCTCTACCTGCTCTATCCCATGCATAATCTTATAAACCTCGATCCTGTTACCCCTCAATTGTTGTTTCTCCAAGCTAAAGAGCCCCAAGCGCTTTAACCGTTCCTCATAGGGAAAGTGTTCCAACCCCTTTATCATCCAAGTTGCCCTTTTCTGCACTTTTTCCAAAGCTATAATATCCTTTTTAAGGTGTGGTGACCAGACCTGCACACAGTATTCCAAATGAGGTCGCACCATTGATTTATATAAGGGCATTTATATAGGGGCTTACAAACTCCTTTCCCTTCCCCTCCCCACAACAGACACCCTGTGAGCAATGCTCCCTCTAAGCTGTGGAGTCTTGTGAGCAAAAATTCCCCTTTGTGAGCTCGTGGCATTAAAGTTGCGAGCGAGAGATTTGGCTACTGCATAAATTAGTTTGCTCGGGAGCCATCTTTCCTGAGAGAAGAGAAATATGTCTGAGCCGGAAGGCTAAAGCACTGAGAGCTAGCTCACACTAACTCAGATAAGAGGGAACACTGCCTGTGAATTTCTGAGAGAACCTGTGAGGGGCTGAGAGAGCTCCTTCGAGGACTGCCCTTGAGAGAACAGCTCCGAGAGAACTTGTGACTGACCTAAGGTCACACCAGCTTGAGAATCAAACCTGGTTCTCCGAGATTAGAGTCCACGCTCCTAACCACTACACCAAACTGGCTCTCAAGCAGGCTTTGGGAAGGTTTGACACATGCGTGCGTTTCTTTCACGGGAGGAAAGAAGAAGAAGAAGAAGAGATTGGATTAATACCCTGCCCTTCACTACCCAAAGGAGTCTCAGAGCGGCTTACAAACTCCTTTCCCTTCCCCTCCCCACAACAGACCCCCTGGGAGGTAAAAGAAGAAGAAGAAGAGACTGGATTTATACCCCACCCTTCACTACCCAAAGGAGTCTCAGAGCGGCTTACAAACTCCTTTCCCTTCCCCTCCCCACAACAGACACCTTGTGAGGTAGGTGGGACTGAGAGAGCTCTTGACAGAAACTGCTCTTTTTCAAGAACAGCTCTTATCAGAACTACGGCTTGACCAAGGTCATCCAGCAGCTGCAAGTGGAGGAGTGGGGAATCAAACCCAATTCTCCCAGATTAGAGTCCACGCACTTAACCATGACGCCAAACTGGTTCTCAGAACTTACCTTTTAAGAGCTTCCTGCGCTCCCGGCACAGCTGAGTCCTCGACGTGAAGCGTCCCGCTGAGATCCACCAGGACAGCTTTGAGCGCACGCCGAGCGGCCATGCCTGGTGCCAGAGAGAAGGGGGGGGGGAGAAGAAACAAAGAATGAGTCACAAAACGGGACAAAAAGCTACAGAAAATTTTTAAACAGGCGGTCTGTTCCACGCTTCCTCTGTGCCAAAGCCTGGAAGAAGTCTGAATGTCGCCCGGGGTACGAAACGAGCCCCTTCGGACAGAGAAAGAAACGGCGACATTAAAAATCTATACATAATTGATGGGATAGCATTCTGTCCTGAAGGCGAGCGTTATTCTGTCCTTGAACTTGGCAAAAAGTCTAAATATTCTATCCACCACCACCACTCTCCAAAAAACCAGAGAGAAACTGCACAGCCAGCTCAGTTTAAGAGGTTGGGTCTGTCTGAACTGGAGTGCCGAGGCTTTGTTTCTTACCTGTTTGATAGGGGGAAACCGCCACCAGCGGCCGCCACGTTACTCAATTAGAAAGCGATAACGCCGCGCTTTTAATTGGGAGAGCTTGGCAAAGCGTCTCAAGGCGAATATCGCTCTGCTTCTGTAGGTGGGGACTCGGATGCACAGATGGTAAAAAGGACCCGCTTAGAGCCACGCGATTTGGCAGGAGTGACCGAAGGGGCCCCACGAGGCCCGTTCGATGTTCCAGCCCCTTCACTCGGCACAGCAGGTGAGAAAGGATGGAAGGCAGGGAATTCTGGCGATGCACGTGGCCACAAGGCTGGGTATAAATTTTTCCTCTGGGATTCATCGTTTTCCAGGCTCTGATCATCTGATTTCACAGAAAAACCAGAAGTCTATTTATTCAGGTAGAGAAAGAAGCCCTTTTCTCCCTTCCTCAAAAAACAAGAACTCGTGGGCACTCCATGAAATTGCTAAGCAGTCGGGTTAGAATGGATATAAGAAAGTCCTTTTCACCCAAAGAATGATTAATGCACGGAATTCACTGCCACAGGAGGTGGCGGCGGCTACAAGCGTGGACAGCTTCAAGAGGCAATTGGATAAACCTATGGAGCAGTGGTCCATCAGTGGCTATTAGCCACAAGGTATAGACTGGAACTCTCGGTCTGGGGCAAGCGATGCTCTGTATTCTTGGTGCTTGGGAGGGGGGACAGTGGGAGAGCTTCTAGTGCCCCACTGCTGGACCTCCTGATGGCACTGGTCTTTTTTGGCCACTGCGTGACAGAGTGTTCCATTGGCCTGATCCAACATTGCCTTCTCTTATGTTCTTATGACTGGCAGCCGCTTTCCAGGGTCTGAGGCAGAGGTCTTTCACATCACCTGTTCCTTGTTCCTTTCAACTGGAGATGCCAGCGATCAGACCCGAGACCTTCTGCATGCCAAGCAGATGCTCCGCCACTGAGCCACGGGCCCATCCACTGTGCGCGTATGCATGTGCGAAAGCCATGCTTATGCTCAACTGTCTATTTCATGATGAGCATACAAGCGATACTTTAATGTTAGCATAGATGCTAAAAGCCAGATGCCAATTACAATTTCCGTGTTCTGCTTCCGTGGCATTTATGCTGGCAGGCAAGCAGTTCTTTGTAAGAAGTTCCTGCTTTGTGCTAGCTGAATAATTTCTCCAGGGCGCCAACGGCGCATCAGAACAATGGATTTTTAAAAAAATGCCATTTAGGTTTTGTTACAGGAAGTCATAAGCCGCTGTGGCAGTTGCTGGGACCCACCTGTGGGAGTGTCACATGTATGACTATCTGCCCACTGGGCAGAAGTCTTGGGTGTGTCCTCGGTGCAAGGAGCTCCTGGTTCTCAGGGAACGTGTGTGCTCCCTTGAGGCCAAGGTGGCTGATCTGGAGAAGCAGAGACAGTCAGCTAGGCGCACAGAAAAGACTCTCGGGGACTTGTTAGCTTCGTCCCACTCTGGATCTGGCAGCCCCGCTGCTGTCAGGGAGCATGAGGGTCTAGGGGAAACAGGGCACCGTGCTGAGGATAAGGGGAATGTGCCCTCAGAAGGGACCTCTTCCCCAGCTGGTGAGCGGCTCTCCTTTTGCACCAAGGAACCATCCCTGAGCAGGGTGGGAGGGGGGCTCTTGGTAGTGGGTGATTCGATCCTTAGGCAGGTAGACAGCTGGGTGGCGAACCCGCGTACTGACCGTATGGTGACTTGCCTGCCTGGTGCGAAGGTAGCGGACATTACGCGTGTTTTAGATAGGCTGGTAGATAGTGCTGGGGAGGAGCCAGTGGTCGTGGTGCATGTTGGCACCAACGATGTGGGGAAATGCAGTCGTGAGGTCCTGGAGGAGAAATTTAGGCTGCTGGGCAGGAAACTCAAGGTAGCCTTCTCAGAAGTGCTACCTGTTCCACGCGCAGGTAGCCTTTTATGTTCTTATTTATTTGTTTGCTTTTATATAGAGGAAGAGAAAAGGAGGAGATTGGATTTATGCCCCGTCCTTCACTACCCAAAGGAGTCGCAGAGCGGCTTACAAACTCCTTTCCCTCCCCCTCCCAGAAGTATGCACACTAAAAGCCGCAAAAAAGTTGCGTTGCTGCGCCTATGCGCATGTCGCCGGAATGAAGAAAAGCCGCTTACAGCTGCGCCTCTGCCAGGGGCAGACCAACAGTGCGAACGCTCCCTTGCGCCTCCTCCCCGGTATGCTCCCGCATCAGTAGGTACAGTGCGACCGGGAATCCCCGGCACAACTTGGTCCGGGGTCTTTTTGGCCCGCCTCCCTCGCGCTTCATACTGCCAGACTGTCCTCAGCCTAAGGGTATCTTATTCACTATAGTACAAAAACCTAAAGAACCATATACATCCAATAGAAAAGTCCACAGCTACAGAGACAGGTTCCAATGCTGTAGACTGTCTTGCTTTCTGATGAGAGACGCAGGAGTCGTCAATGCCAATATTGTAGGATGTTTTGCTTTCTGAAAAGAGATGCAGCAAGCATCAAAGCAACACCATAGGGTAAACAAAGACATTATATAAAGGTTTAATGATTAATTGTTGTATTCCTATGATGGAAAAAAAATAAATAAAAATTTTTTGTTTACCAAAAAAAAAAAAGCAACAAGCCTCCCAGGCAAAAATTGCGTGTTCCGAGAGATTCTTCTTCAGGCAAAATTATTTTTCCTGGAACTGAATTACAAACAAAATATAACACAATATACTTTACATAGTAACCAGGAAAAAAAGAGAGCTAGCTTGCTGTACTCACCCAAAGCTCACAATGCTACAATGCACAAGTCAACAATTTTATAGAAGGCTTTTCTGGTTCTCCATAGGAACAACCCAGAAAGACCACTCTAATACCTTTGTCAGTGTATGCAGGAAAAAGGATTCCAGCACCTGAATCCCAGATCTGAAAAGTTCATATGCCACGACACACAGAGAACTTACACCTGAACATGTGAAGCTGCCTTATACTGAACCAGACCCTTGGCTGATCAAAGTCAGTATTGTCTACTCAGGCCAATGCTATGCTAGGGATTATTAGGAAGGGAATTGAAAACCAATCAGCCAGTTTCATCATGCCCCTGTATAAATCAATGGTGCGACCTCATTTTGAGTACTGTGTACAGTTCTGGTCACCACACCTCAAAAAGGATATTATAGCATTGGAAAAAGTGCAGAAAAGGGGAAGAAGAAGAATGGATTTATACCTCGCCCTTCACTACCCAAAGGTGTCTCAGAGCGGCTTACAAACTCCTTTCCCTTCCCCTCCCAACAACAGACACCCTGTGAGGTGGGTGGGGCTGAGAGAACTCTGACACAAACTGCTCTTTTTCAAGGACAGCTCTTATCAGAACTACGGCTTGCCCAAGGTCATCCAGCCAGGTGCAAGTGGAGGAGTGGGGAATCAAACCCGGTTCTCCCAGATTAGAGTCCACGGATTTAACAACTACACCAAACTGGCTCTCTAGGCAACTAGAATGATCAAAGGGTTGGAACACTTTCCCTATGAGGAAAGGTTAAAGTGCTTGGGGCTCTTTAGCTTGGAGAAACGACGGCTGAGGGGTGACATGATCGAGGTTTATAAGATTATGCATGGGGTAGAGCAGGTCAATAAAGAAGTCCTTTGCTCCGGTTCTCACAAGACAAGAACCCGTGGGCACTCCATGAAATTGCTGAGCAATTGGGTTAGAACAGATAAAAGGAAGTACTTCTTCACCCAAAGAGTGTTTAACACATGGGATTCACTGCCACAGGAGGTGGTGGCAGCTACATGCACCGACGGCTTCAAGAGGGAATTGGATAGACATATGGAGCAGCGGTCCATCAGTGGCTATTAGCCACAAGGTATAGATACGAACTCTCGGGCTGGGGCAGGTGATGCTCTGTATTCTTGGTGCTTTCGGGGGGGGACAACAGTGGGAGAGCTTCTAGTGCCCCACTGCTGGACCTCCTGATGGCACCTGGTCTTTTTTGGCCACTGCGTGACAGAGTGTTGGACTGGATGGGCCATTGGCCTGATCCAACATTGCCTTCTCTTATGTTCTTATGACTGGCAGCCGCTTTCCAGGGTCTGAGGCAGAGGTCTTTCACATCACCTGTTCCTTGTTCCTTTCAACTCGAGATGCCAGCGATCAGACCCGAGATCTTCTGCATGCCAAGCAGATGCTCCGCCACTGAGCCACGGGCCCATCCACTGTGCGCGTATGCATGTGCGAAAGCCATGCTTATGCTCAACTGTCTATTTAATGATGAGCATACAAGCGATACTTTAATGTTAGTATAGATGCTAAAAGCAAGATGCCAATTACAATTTCCGTGTTCTGTTTCCCTGGCATTTATGCTGGCAGGCAAGCAGTTATTTGTAAGAAGTTCCTAGCTGAATAATTTCTCCAGGGCGCCAACGGCGCATCAGAACAATGGATTTTTTTTTTTAAATGCCATTTAGGTTTTGTTACAGGAAGTCATAAGCGGTGGTGGCAGTTGCTGGGACTTCCCTGTCCATCAGTGGCTATTAGCCACAAGGTATAGATAGGGACTCTGGGGCAAGTGATGCTCTGTCATCTTGGTGCTTGGGGGGGGTCAACAGTGGGAGGGCTTCTAATGTCCTGGCCCCACTGGTGGACCTCCTGATGGCACTGGTATTTCTGGCCACTGTGGGATACAGAGTGTTGGACTGGATGGGCCTTTGGCCTGATCCAACATTGGCATCTCTTATGTTCTTATGTTCTTATGTACCCAGAATAAAACTTTGTTGGTCTTAAAGGTGCCACTGGACTTTTAAATCTAATCTAATCATCCTAGTTTCCTTGGAGGAAGAGTAAGGTAAAAACGAATGAAGATGTGAAATGAAACGTATTTTTTCCACTGGTTTTTGCCACCCAGCAGCTAGAAAGACCCCCGATGTGGCTCAGGCTGGGCCAGTCTTGTCAGATCTTGGAAGCCAAGCAGTGTTGGCCCTGGTTAGTGCATGGATGGGAGACCACTGAGGGCGTCCAGAGCTGCTACACAGGGGCAGGCAAAGGCAAACCATTGCTGTATCTTTTGTCCTGACCTGCATGCCGCAGCCTAGCCGGATCTCGTCAGATCTCGGAAGCTAAGCAAGGTCGGCCCTGGTTAGTGCTTGGATGGGAGACCACCAAAGAAGTCCCTGGTTGCCACACAGAAGCAGGAAATAAAAAACCAACATCTGATGGGGTCCAAACTGGCGGAGACTGACCAAGAGAGAGATCTTGGAGTGGTAGTAAATGACTGGGAGTAAGCAGTGATTGAGGTGTATAAGATTATGCATGGGAAAGAGCAGGTAGAGAAAGAGGTACTTTTCTCCCTTTCTCACAAGACAAGAACTCGTGGGCACTCCATGAAATTGCTGAGCGGTCGGGTTAGAATGCATAAAAGGAAGTCCTTCTTCACCCCAAGAGTGATTAACACATGGAATTCACTGCCACAGGAGGTGGTGGCAGTTACAAGCGTGGACGACTTCAAGAGGGAATTGGATAAATATATGAAGCAGAGGTCCATCAGTGGCTATTAGCCACAAGGTATAGATAGGATCTCTCAGTCTGGGGCAAGTGATGCTCTGTATTCTTGGTGCTTGGGGGGGAGCAACCGTGGGAGGCTTCTAGTGTCCTGGCCCCACCGCTGGACCTCCTGATGGCCCCTGGGCCATTGGCCTGATCCAAAATTGGCTTCTCTTATGTTCTTATCTCTTGCCTTAAAAGCCCCTAGGGGGTTGCCCTAAATTGGCCGCAACTTGATGACATTTCCCTTCACCACAGCTAGAAACAGCACATTCAGTCCCATGACTTGGGAAGTTTCTACTAAGTTCTGCACGTTTTGTGACTGGCACCAAATGGCTGGCAGAAATTTTGGACTTTTATCAGAGTACTGGAAATTTTATATTGCAGGGACTTCCCAGCAATCCGCTGTCCCGGCACTTTTTAATCTAATCAGAACCCCTGAAGATAAAGGACCGTCTGTCTTCTCCACCGATAAAACCAGACAGTAGAACTTGTTCCAAGGTAGGAACAGAGATGCAGAGATCACTTCTTGTCGCATGTAGAGATCTCTCTTTATCAGAAGGAAAGGCAATTTATCTTCAAGGCAGACAAAGGTTGAGCGACTGCTATCAATCACACCAGAAAGCCTCTGCAGAGTTCTTGATATTTGAGAAGTAGTCTGGGTGTTGGAGGAAGGTTTTACAGATGAAGAAGAAGAGATTGGATTTATCCCCCGCCCTTCACTAGGAGTATCAGAGCGGCTTACAAACTCCTTTCCTTTCCCCTCCCCACAAGAGACACCCTGTGAGGTAGGTGAGGCTGAGAGAGCTCTGACAGAAACTGCTCTTTTCCCAAGAACAGCTCTGACAGAACCACGGCTTGCCCAAGGTCATCCAGCAGGTGCAAGTGGAGGAGTGGGGAATCAAACCCGGTTCTCCCAGATTAGAGTCTGCACACTTAACCACTACACCAAACTGGCTCTCAAATAATAAATAATACTTTGGGCAGTGCTAAGCACTGTGAAGTGAACGTTGTGAAAAAAACTTACTGTATTTCAAGTTTAAGTAATGCATTTTTTCACTTCACCCTTCCTCCAAGGGGGGGCATATTCAGGGTTCTCCATTTTACCCCCAACAACAACCCTGTGGGATAGGCTAGGCAGACAACACGTGACTACACAAAGTCACTCAGTAAGCCTCATGAAAAGCAAGGATTCGAACCCAAGTCTCCCCAGTCAGAATACAACACTCATCCAGAGTCCCAACAGGCAGCCTCCCCTGCCATTGGTACTTTTAGACTCACAGAAGCATGTACACATTTTAAATATCTCTTTACACACCTTTGGGGGAGGACTTATGAATTTACTAAATAGATAATAGATTACTGCCCAAGAGTCATAATTATGCCTCTTTTCCCTGCACCGCCCTTCAAAAGCGAGGGGGAAAACCCACTTCTCGAACGTTTTGCTACCTCAACTTACAGATCGGAGGAAAGATTTGCCTAGATACGAACTCACCTCACTTTTGAGGTGGGCTGGTTCTTCCACCTAAGGCAACCGCGCCATGGACTGATCCACTGTCACTTAAAATAGGAAATCGAGGTGGGAATTAATTCCCCCCCCATTTTGAGAATGAGACACAGTTGGTACTATCCTCGCTCTTCATCACAGCGGGAGTCAGATCGTACCATGATGACAAACGGGGGTGGGACATTCCATGGGCGTCTCGGCTGCACTCACCTGCGGCTAGAGCGACCCTCTCCGCTTGAGGCGAGGGAATGCCTTGGACAGCGAAAGCCCCCTCCTTCCCTCCCTCTGACGGTATGTGAGGACCCACAGCGCTTCTCTAAGCTGTCAGCAACAAGCGCCTGAATTTAAAAGATTTGGGGGGGGGAGTACTTTCATCAGCACAATGTATTAGTCTCTAGCTGACACCCCCTCCATAGAAATCTCCCTCCATTGAAACGGCCTGCCTGGGGTTGGATAGTGGACTTCTTGGACAGGCATTTGGATAAACACCTCTCCATTTGGAGATCGTGCCTGCAAGACGCTGCTGCGCCCATGCAGAGAAATGAGATGGGAGCAGAGCGCAATATTGCAGTGGAAAACGTTGTGCGCCCCTGTTGAACTTCTGCCTGCACACATCCAGTTGCAGAGAAAATGAAGGAGAGCTGGATTAGTGCTGTAGAAGCGAAGACTTGAAAATCATGCCAGGGAAAATCTACACGAACCAATCACTTACCTCCAGGTTGGGTAGCCATGTCCGTTTGAAGCAGCAGATCAAAGTTCCAGTCCAGTGGCACCTTTTAAGACCAACAAAGTCAAGGTATAAGCTTTCGTGTGCACGCACATCTCTTCAGATCAATTGTGCATGCACACAAAAGTTTACACCTTGAATAAAACTCTTTCGGTCTTAAAGGTGCCACACTGGACTCAAATCACTTACCTGTCCCCATGCATACCAAAGCTAATACCCGAAATTACACTTTGTTGGTCTTAAAAGGTGCCACTGGACTCAAACTTTGTTCTATTGCGTCGGACCAACACGGCTACCCACCTGAATCTAACTCAATAAGGTCCTACCATTGCAAGATTTTTAAGGACTAGCAGTTCCTGAACTGGGAAGAGGGAAGGAATTCAATCTACAGTTTAATTCCTCAGCCAAAACAACATTTAAGAGCAGCATATCAAGGCTTCAAGCAGCGAGAGCACACACTCGTGTGTACTTCATCGATGATCCAGTTTGTAGGTCTATCTTACTACTGAGATAATGAATCCCGTATTTACTTGGGATGTATCAGTGGGGAGAAAAAGCCAACATGTGTATTTTTACCTCCGAGATCATTTTGACGTGTACAGAAACCTCGAGGACCAATGTAAGTGCAAACCATCAGCAGCTTGTGGACTGCATCCTAATAGCAGGATCTTTTTAACACTTCCCTATGATGTTCCACGGGGCCTTGGTGGCTCAGAGGTTAAGACGCTGAGTTGCAGACCAGAAGGTCGGTAGCTCAGTACTTTGAGACCCGAGTTGCCACATGTCTCTGGCCCCAGCTCCTGACAACCTAGTAGTTCAAGAAATTGCAAGTAGATAAATAGGTACCGCTTCAGTGGGCAGGCAACAGTGTTCCATGCGCCTTGGCATTTAATCATGCCGGCCACATGGCCACAGAGAAGTCTTCAGACAGCGCTGGCTCTTCGGCTTGGAAACGGAGGTGACCACCGCCCCCTAGATTCGGATTCGACTGGCTTTCGAGCAAGGGAAACCTTTTATGATGTCCCAAAAGGTGTTATTTATATGTATTTGGAAGAAAAGGAAGCTTCAGTCCCATGCCAAACTCTCATAGCTATCCTAACCATCAGGACAATGAAGGAGACTCAAGAAACCAGAATCATACTTGCAAAAGGGAGGAGGCTGCGGCTCAGTGGAAGACAAGAGCCTCTGGCATGCAGAAAAGTGGGTTTTATACTTTTCTCTAAAGGAGTCTAAAAGTGGCTTACAATCATATTCCTTTCCTCTCCCCACAACAGGGGGGGGGGGCTGAGAGAGTTCTGAGAGTGTCATTTTCCATTCCGGCAGTGGTTAGGAGCGCGGACTCTAATCTGGGAGAACCGGGTTTGGTTCCCCACTCCTCCACATGCAGCTGCTGGTGTGACCTTGGGTCAGTCACAAGTTCTCTCAAGAGCAGTTCTCTCAGAGCTCTCTCAGCCCCACCGACCTCACACGGTGTCTGTTGCGGGGAGAGGGGAGATTGTAAGCTGCTCTGAGACTCTGAGTGAAGCACGGGGCATAAATCCAATGTCGTGTTCTTCATCGGAGGGAGTGTTGCAACTTGAGGAATGGCTTAGTCCCAATACATAACAGAGGATGGGACACCTTCCCTATGAGGAAAGGTTAAAGCACTTGGGGCTCTTTAGCTTGGAGAAACGATGGCTGAGGGGTGACATGATCGAGGTTTATAAGATTATATATGGGATAGAGCAGGTAGAGAAAGAAGGACTTTTCTCCCTTTCTCACAATACGAGAACTCGTGGGCATTCAATTAAATTGCTGAGCGGTCAGGTTAGTACAGATAAAAGGAAGTACTTCTTCACCCAAAGAGTGATTAACACATGGAATTCACGGCTACAGGAGGGGGTGGCGGCTACAAGCATGGACGGAATTAGATAAACCTATGGAGCAGAGGTCCATCAGTGGCCATTAGCCACAAGGTATATAGATAGCTTGAACCTAGCAGTTCGAAAGCAAGAAATTGCAAGTAGATAAATAGGTACCACTTCGGTGGGAAGGTAACAGCGTTCCGTGTGCCTTGGTGTTTAGTCATGCTGGCCACATGACCACGGAAACGTCTTCGGACAGCGCTGGCTCTTCGGCTTTGAAACGGAGATGAGCACCGAAACCCTAGAGTCGGACTCGACTGGCTTTTGAGCAAGGGAACCTTTACCTTTATAGATAGGAACTCTCAGGCTGGGGCAGGTGATGCTCTGTATTCTTGGTGCTTGGGGGAGGCAGGAGGACTCCTAGTGTCCTGGCCCCACTGCTGGACCTCCTGAGGGCACCTGGTATTTCTGGCCACTGTGTGACAGAGTGTTGGACTGGATGGGCCATTGGCCTGATCCGACATTGGCTTCTCTTATGTTCTTATGAAAGTATCTTGGTCTCTGAGGTGCTACTGGACTCGAATCTAGGTCTTTTACTGCAGACCAACATGACCACCCTCTGATACTAGACAAATAATGACAGATGAAAAACAAGTCAACCACAGACGTCTAAGCAATTACGGGTTTCCTTCTGGCTCATTCCCCTTTGTAACCAACAAATTGTATAACACAGCTGCTTTCCCGCTGCAACTGACGACACGTTCCTCAAGTCGTTTGCAAACTCTTAAACCAGTGGAGAAATCCAAGATTACCAGATGTGTGTTGTAGAAAACCATTCACAACTAATCAAGAGTCCTGTCTTTAAGGGCAAATGAGAGAAAGTGGCAGGGAAGGAAGACAGGAAGTGGGGCATTATATGGAAAAGCTGTAATGGAATGGAGGGGTCGTTTGCCATTGTGGGCCTCTGCACAGCAAAGGTTCCAGTACAGTTTAAACAAGACCCTGAGCTCAACATTGAGCAGGGAAGCTATATTGCCTAGACAGCCTCGCTTTAAAATCGGGACTGAAATACATGGAATACATGAAAGGACCTTTCACTGAACCCAACCACAGAGTCTTTAAATTATACATACCCTGTGATAACAGAATTTAATTTTATAAATATGCACTCGCTTTTAAATCGGGACTCGCTTTTAAATCGGGACTGAAATACATGAATCACAGAAGGACCTTTCACTGAACCCAACCGCAGAGTCTTTAAATTATACATACCCTGTGATAACAGAATTTAATTTTATAAATATGCACTGAAGACCAGTGTTCCCTCTAAGCTGAGTTAGTGTGAGCTAGCTCACAGTTTTTTAGCCTCCGGCTCACACATTCTTGTCTTAGCTCTGGAAGGATGGCTCCGGAGCAAACTAATTTATGCAGTAGCCAAATCGCTCGCTCACAGCTTTAATGCCAGTCGCTCACAAAGTAGAATTTTTGCTCACAAGACTCCACAGCTTAGAGGGAGCATTGCTGAAGACTATACCTAAATAATTTCAACTTGGCACAAGTATTTTTCCAAAAAGTGAAGTCAGGGATTTTTTTCCGGTAGTGGAGCATCTGCTTGGCATGCAGAAGGTCTCCGGTTCCATCCCCAGCATTTCCAGTTAAAAGGACCAGACAGGAGATGATGGGAAAGACCTCTGCCGGAGACCTTGGAGAGCGGCTGCCAGTCTGAGTAGACGACGATGCCCTAGATGGACCAAAGGTCTGATTCAGTATAAGGCAGCTTGAGGATGTGATGTTCCCATTAAAATGAATTCACTTAAGACAGATTACACTGAATAGCTACAGTTCATTTCATAAAAGCTTCTAATTACAAATATTTTACACTTAGAAATCCTGGGGGAAGGACCAAAAAATAACACAACAGTAAAACATCATAAAAAGAACTTTACTTGCTAAAGGATCGTTGAGGAATTTTATGTTTCCATCGCTTTAAATCTATTCTTTCGGAGTTTTGACCAGCACTTGAGAGATATAATCAATTTTAAAACATATTTGTCTACCTGTTAACCTGTCACTGGTATGCAAAAAATAAATAAAAAATCAGTCATTCAGTTCTACTGAAAGCCATCTTGTACATGCATCAACAGCCAAAATTTCCTTTTCTGTGGTATCTGCTAGACAGACACTGGCCCAGTTGTTTGCCTTGGCCTCATCAAAGCATGTACCATTAGTCTATTTGTTCATGTGGTCATTATTACTGAAAGCGAGCTCAGCCTTTCAGCCTACACAGTCCTGAGCAACAAGCTATTTAAGAAAACAGCACCTTCAGCAACGATTACAATATGTTACAATGCATACTGTAAACACTCGATACTATTCAGAGTCAAGTGGGAAAATGTTTCCAGTTTGGAATATATCTACGGCATTTCTTCACGAACTCAGTTTTCTGCCTGAATTAAATGGGAGTGAATATCAAGGAATTCAATAAATACAAAGGGTGTCTTTATTGAGAAAAGGGGGCGGTTTCCACAGCCAAGCCCGACCGGATCCCAAGGAACACAATGCCAATTGGATCTGCAGTCTGCCTGTTCTGGATCTGCAGTCTGTTTGCTCTGGATGAATTCAGCCGGTTGCTTGGAAGAGGCCGTCTTCAACCAAACAACAGAAGCAACACAATGGTTATGCTGTTCACTCCGATTAATGGCACTACGAGAGAAAACAAGAAGGGTGTTAGAGGAATTCTTTACTCCACGGATGACAAACGGTATTCCGTTAAACTGATTGAGCTCGTTTTTAAAAAGGAAAATGAAACCTCTCTCCATTCCTGTGCTGGGGGGGAGATAATGTCTTTGTAAAACTGTACTGTGTTTGGAAGACACTGGAGGAGGGGGGGAATCAATTTTAGTAAGACAAAACATAATGTATTGGCCACAGTGTATTTCAAAATTAAAACCCCTTTTGAACTCTAAGGTTTGAGTCCAGTAGCGCCTTAGAGAACAACAAGAGTTTCAGGCTACAAGCTTTTGAGAGTCAGAGGTCTCTCTGTTTTTGAAGAGTGGAGTGGAGCTTTGACTCTCAAAAGCTTAAACCCTGAAACTCTCATTGGTCTCTAAGGTGCTACTAAACCAGTTTGGTGTAGTGGTTAGGAATGTGGACTCTAATCTGGGAGAACCGGGTTTGATTCCCCAGTCACAGGTTCTGTCCAAGCTGTTCTCTCAAGGGCAGTCCTTGAAAGAGCTCTCTCAGCCCCACCTGCCTCACAGCGTGTCTGTTGTAGGGAGGGGAAGGGAAAGGAGATTGTACATACACTACTCCCCAGAAATGTATCCCCCATCCAGTATTTGTGCTTGACATTTTTGTGGCCCAGATGTAATACTGTGCATTTATCTTTGTTGAATTGCATCCTGTTGTCAACTGCCCACTTCTCCAGAGTATTCAGGTCTTGTTGAATTTTAACTCTGTCTTCTTGAGTGTTTACTACTTCTCCCAATTTGGTATTATCAGCAAATTTAGTGAGTAGCCCTTCTACCCCTTCCGGGGGTCCGAAATCCCCCTGGGGGGCGGAATTCCCACTGGTTTCGAGCCCCGATTCCCACTCCCGCGGAATCGGGGCCCGGGGGAAACCTCACCCCCACGCGTGCATCACCCGGAAGTGATGTCACACGCTGGGGGCGGGGTGACGCCATTTGAGGCGGGTCATCCTTCTTTCCTTTCTTAAAGATTGGGATAACATTTGCTCTTCTCCAATCTTGTGGAGAATAACCACAATGAACTTATATTGGGGACATAAGCAAAGGGTTTCAGGGGCTTAATAAATTCCAGCAAAAGTCCATTTCTGATTAAACGTTTTAATCTTACGAGACATAGAGTTGATGACCGAACAACAGCAGTTCTTATAAAGGAATTTCAAGGGGAGATTAGACAGAGTGACTGCTGAACTGCAATTGATAATGAAGCTCAAGATAATGCATCCACCTGGTATTAATTGAGACCTAGGTTTCCTGTCTCATTACCAGTGCTGATTTCTCCATGCCTCCTACTCCTCTGTGTATCACACCTAATCCAAGCACGCCTGCTATTGTCATTCGCCTACTAATGTCATTCATCATCTGAAATCACTCCATTCTCCGAGATATAAGGACAGATGGGACTGTCGTTCTAGCTGCATCTGAAAAAGTGAGCTGGGGGGCACTTTCACACACCCTGAATAATGCACTTTCAATTCATCTTGAATGCACTTTAAAGATGGTTTGCAAGTGGATTTTGCCATTTCAGATGTAAAGTGCACTGAAAGTGGATTGAAATGCGTGATTCAGAGTGTGTGGAGGAGGAGATTGGATTTATACCTCATCCTTCACTAACCGAGCAGCTTACAATGTGCTTTCCCTTCCCCTCCCCACAACAGACAACCTGTGAGGTAGGTGGGGCTGAGAGAGCTCTTTTGAGAACTGCTCTTGAGAAACCAGTTCTGAAAGAACTAGTAACTGATCCAAGGTCACACCAGCAGCTGCATGTGTAGGATTGCAGAATCAAACCCTGTTATCCCAGCTTAGAGTTCACATTCCTAACCACTACATATAAGAACATAAGAGAAGCCAATGTTGGATCAGGCCAATGGCCCATCTAGTCCAACACTCTGTCACACAGTGGCCAAAAATACCAGGTGCCATCAGGAGGTCCACCAGTGGGGCCAGGACATGAGAAACCCTCCTACTGTTGCTGCCGCCCCTCAAACACCAAAAATACAGTGCATCACTTGCCCCAGCCCGAGACTTCCTATCTATACCTTGTGGCTAATAGCCACTGATGGACCTCTGCTCAATATGCTTATCTAATTCCCTCTTGAAGCTGTCCATGCTTGTAGCCGCCGCCACCAAACTGGATTTAGCATAAATGAAGTGCATGTGTGAATGACACCATTGTAATGCAAACGTTACAGGCAGTTTGGAGAGGGACTTCAGGTAGTGGTTGATCCTGGGATTTTGGCTCTCTTGGGAGCTATCTTGGGCTCTGGAGCAAGCTAGTGTAGCATAGTGTGAAACTGCCTGCCACAAATTTTATTAGTCTTTAAGGTATTACTGGACACTTGCTCTTTTCTACTGCTACACACACACCTAGACATTTCTTCCAGCAGGTGGGAAAACTGCTTGAGGGCATTCTGAACATAAAACATGGCTCCCAAGGAACCACCTTGGCCTACTGCTGCCTGTTCGGCTTGAGGCATGCTTTATTAAAAACAAAAAAACAAAAAACTACTAGGATAAATGCAACCTAGATGCAACATGCAGCGTAGTTTGTAACGTTTTTATCAAACTGAAGTTACAATAGCAACAGGCACCTTCATTGTGAAAGGTATTTCAAAGAAAACAGCAATGCTTTCTCAATATGAGAATTTTTGCATTTGTTTTACCTCTCATAACTGTCCGTACAGATCGGATGAGGTTCATTAATTGTGCTTTAACTCCCGGTTCTTCTCCAAACCCTCCAATGCCTTGGTCTGTTCCCCAGCCAACTGCGTGACATTTTTTAAAAAAATTACGTGCATGAAATATTTCATAAGGGAAACCATCAGTCACATTTTTGATCCATCCTGGGAAAAAGAGGCTACTTCCGCCACATACTGTGGCAGGCGTCTAAACATTTCTTCAATATAGGGTAACCTATTTGAAATGATAATCAGAAATTCTAATGGTGGGAATTCCTGTAAAACTAGAACTGTACACCAACATGGACTGAAAATTATGAGCAAGAGTCCAGCAGCACCTTAAAGACTACCAAAATGTGTGGCAGGGGAGGAGCTTTCGTGAGTCACCCCTCACTTCTTCAGATATATCTCGCTGTATCTGAGGAAGCTCCTCCCCTGCCACAAATTTTGGTAGTGTTTAAGGTGCTGCCGGGCTCTCTTGCTCTTTTCTCCCGCTTCAGACAGACTAACACGGCTACCCATCTTGAAAATTATGAGAAATGGAAACAACACACTGCGAGTTCATTAACTAGCCTCACAAAAAGTAAAAATATCACACAATTATAATGAGAAATAATGTCCCTAGAAGCTGACAAAAAATACAGAAAGCAAATCCTTCAGGATGATGTCGTCTGGAGTCTGTTGCCTCTGACAGCCGGCACCGGTTTGCTGACTGTATTATTCTTAAGCATCTGGGACCAACTTAACATCACAGCCAGTTTAACCGATTACAAAGACCAGCAAATCTTCTGTGTAGATATAATCTGAACTGTCACCAGACCCATATTTGAAACCAGAAGGCATGAGGATCAGAGTGATGTAATCATAAGAAAAAAAATAGTGGAGACAGTATAAGCAGTGGATTATAAAGATCATGGCTTGGATCCACTAGAGGATTTCCATGGACGGTGGGGGTGGGCAATGTCCCCCAACTTCCCACCATGAAGTTCCTGGGGTACCCTTCCCCAAGGGCAGCATTTTGGAAGTGCAGCAAAATAGAGGAGGTGAAGAAATCATATTCCACTGACAGGAAACCCCTTCTGTTCAAGGAAACCCTCTGGTGGATCCAAACCAATAATTAAAAGATATGCACAGTGATCAATATCATGTCACCACAGCCACCTCCTTCCTAAACTAATGTGCTCAACAAACTCACTTGGTGTAAATAGTACTTCACGGCCTTACTGCCTTTTGACATATTTATCAGCCCTTCTTTTGAGGCTCTTCATTATTTGGGGTAGGGTGGTGACAGTGTGGTGTACAGGAGCCATGCAATCAAGCTGCTCATGTTGGAAGCACAGCTGTTTCTCCCAAGGACTACCAGCAACTACTGCATCTGCAGCACCCCAGTGCCAAAGCTTAACAGGATCAAGGTTCAGTTCCCTCATAACTTAAGAGTCAACACTACCTTAAAGACTGAAAGAGAAATGAAAGGCATACATGCTAGCAATTCTGTTAAGCTGGGACACATGAATGCCACTCCCAGATGAGTTGCCTCATAAGACACAGACAAGTATATTCCTTTACCCAAGAACAGCCCTGCTGGATCAGACCAGTGGTCTATGTAGCCCAGCATCCTGTCTCACACAGTGGCCAACCTGTTCCTCTGGAGGGCCAACAACAGGACATAGAGGCCGAGATCTTCCCCTGATGTTGCCTTCTGTCAGTGGGATTCAGAGGTTTACTGACACTGAATGTGGAGGTTACTCTCAGCCACCATGGCTAGTAGCCACAGACAGACCTATCCTCCATGAATCTGTCTAAACTTCTTTTAAAGCTGCCTATGCCTGTGGCAATCAATGTGTCCTCTGGCCTCGAATGCCACATTTTAATCACTCTCTGTGTAAAGAAGTGTTTCCCTTCCCCTGATGTTGCCTTCTGTCAGTGGGATTCAGAGGTTCTGACACTGAATGTGGAGGTTACTCTCAGCCACCATGGCTAGTAGCCACAGACAGACCTATCCTCCATGAATCTGTCTAATCTTCTTTTAAAGCCGCCTATGCCTGTGGCAATCGTCCTCTGGCCTCGAATGCCACATTTTAATCACTCTCTGTGTAAAGAAGTGTTTCCCTTTGTCTGTCCTGAATCTACTGCCCGTCAGCTTCATTCAATCCCCTAGAGGACTTGCCTTTTCCCATATGTCCCCCAGAGAGCACTGTGGTCAGGGGCTCAGAACCGGCTGGTCCTCCCGGGTCTGAAGGAGCCTAGGCTGTCAACGACCAGGACCAGGGCTTTCTCAGTGGTGGCCCCAACCTGGTGGAATGAGCTCCTGGAGTAGATCGGGGTGCTGCGGGACTTTTTACAGTTCCGCAGGGCCTGTAAAACGGAGCTCTTCCACCAGGCTTTTGGGAGCCACCGCCACCATCAATGAGGGACATCAGATGGCTGAATGGAAGAGGGCCCTGGATTCCGGAAACTGCCATCGACAGCCTAAAGAACAAGTACTGCAGGAACAACCAAAACGAATACTGTGAGCTGAGAACTGTGAATGATGGCTGCTACCGTTTATGGATAACAACAATCACTAGCACTTTATTATTGTTTTCCAATTGTTTCAACCGTAATTTATGTTTTTAATGTAATTATCTGTTTTGTAAGCCGCCCTGAGCCAGCTTTGGCTGGGAGGGCGGGGTAGAAATTCAAATAAAGTTCTCTTTGTTGACTCTCCACCAGTGTTCCCTATAAGCTGAGTTAGTGTGAGCTAGCTCACCATTCTTTAGCCTCCGGCTCACACATTTTTGTCTTAGCTCAGGAAGGAGGGCTTCGGAGCAAACTAATTTATGCCGTAGCCAAATCGCTTGCTCACAACTTTAATGCCGGTAGCTCAGAAAATAGAATTTTTGCTCACAGGACTCCACAGCTTAGAGGGAACATTGCTCTCCACCCTGTGTAGCATTTGATAAACCTCTATCATGTCCTCAGTCATCCCTTTTGTAAACAGAAAGTCCCATACTTTTCAGCCTTTCCTCATAGGAAAGGTGCTCCAACTCCCTAATCTTCTTGGTTGCCCTCTTCTGTACTTTTTCCAGCTCTGTGATATCCTTTTGGAGATACACTGACCAGAACGGCACACAGTATTTCACCTAAGGCCTTACCACGGCATTTTCAATGCCTTTCCTAGTAGGCCCTAACACAGTGTTCTCCGTTTTCACCACCAGAGCGCACATGGCGTTCACACTTCCATTGAGTTGTACACTACGACCCCAAGATCTTTCTCCCCATTTCTAAGTAAGAGTAGTTTCCATTCTTTAGTATCACAATCACTTAAGTGGTTTAAAATCTTCAATGCCTACAAGGATGCTTTAAAAGGGCTTAAAAGGGAAAAATCCAACTTTTACACAATCTTTCTTCAGATATGACAGCAAGGTAGATTTGCTTTAAACCATGATTTCAATCACCAGTCAGGAAGACTCAACTGAACAACTGCCTTCTAGATAAATGTGCATCCTTGTTGGTTGTTATAACTTGAATTCATGTTCTTCACAACTCAGATGCAGCAGGTTTCATTTTTAGATCATATTGCACACTACATGTTTTTAAACAGTGATTTTGATAAGTTTTCAGATTAGTCATTTAAAGTACATGACTGTGGGTTATGGTACTGCAGATCTGAAGAATGATCTGAGATCTGTCATGCCAATGACAGCTACATTTAAAAGAGCAATCCATTAACTTCTGGTCAACTAGTACTGAAGGATGTTGTGAAACATTTAAACGAAAGGGCCCTACAATAAATAAGAGGTGGGGCCATGCAAGGCTTGACAAATCACATATCTCCACATATCATCATAGAAATCATAGAGTTGGAAGGGACTTCCAGGGTCATCTAGTCCAACCCCCTGCACAATGCAGGAAAATCACAAATACCTCTCCCCCCACACTCCCAGTGACCCTCTGTTCCATGCCCAGAAAATGACATGGCGAGATGGTCATAAATAACCCCGATGACTGAAATATGAGTCTGGCTCCCAAAATTTGGGGCTGGGTTTCCACAGTGTCTCAAGTTTCTGGTGGCCCAAGTGGTTAAGACGCTGAACTGCAGGCTGTGGAAGGTCAGTAGTTCAGCAGTTCAAGACCCGGGTGCCACATGATGGAGTGAGCTCCCGTCTCTAGTTCCAGCTCCTGCCAACCTAGCAGTTCGAAAGCAAGAAATTGCAAGTAAATAAATAGGTACCACTTCGGTGGAAAGGTAACAGCGTTCCGTGCACCTTGGTGTTTAGTAATGCCGGCCACATGACTATGGAATCGTCTTCGGACAGTGCTGGCTCTTCGGCTTTGAAACGGAGATGAGCACCGCAACCCTAGAGTCGGATTCGACTGGCTTTCGAGCAAGGGAACCTTTACCTTTTCCACAGCCAAAGAAAATTCATGGAGCCCTGGCAGCAGCAAAGAAATAACCAAGATGCCCCTGTCTAATATCCCTTATATATAAATTATACTTTTTTGATGCCTGCCATTTCCCACAGAGGTTGCTACCCTCCAGACTGATCTCCAGACTACAGAGACCAACTCCCCTGGAGGTAACTTCAGAGGATGGTCTCAACGGTAACACCACGGCCCCTAGGTGAAATCCCACCCCAAACACTACCCCCCAAATCTCCAGGAATTCCCAAGGCTGGAGATGGCAACCTTACTTTCCACATTCCAGAATTGAATAACCTCCCTCTGGGGCCTTCTTACCCCCGCCACAGTCTGAGGAGGGCGAGACCCGGGTACTGGGTTGCCAACCCCCAGGTGGGGCCTGGAGATCTCCCGGAATCACAACTGATCCCCGGGGAGGGGCAGGATCCAGTCCCCCTGAGGAAAGGGCAGCTTTGGAGAGCGGGCTTTACATGAGCCTTATTATACCCGGCTGAGCTCCAACTCAACCGCCACCCGCAAATCTCCAGGTATTTCTCCCGGCCTGAAAGGAAGGGGGGGCGGGCGGGCGGCCAGGACCCGGAAGCCGCCACAAACTCACTCCTGCGGAGGAAGCGCTCTTCGTGCAGCACCGTGATGGCGTTGACGAACAGCAGCGCGGCCTGCAGCAGCGAGTACAGCGTGAAGGCCATCTCCCACTCCCCCGCGCCGGACGCCGCCTCAGCGGCCCGACTCTCGCCGCCGCCCGCCTGCCTCACTGCGCCTGCGCCGCGCTGGCCAGGACGTGGCGCTGGGCGAGGGGCAATGATGGCACATGACGTCACAGGAGGCGCGCCGTCGCAGGGCGGGGGAGCTGCGCGGCGCGGCTCCGATTGGCTTTTCCCGCCTTTGGGGGAGGAGGCCGTCGCTGTCTTTTCCCGCCTTTTTCCCTTTTAGGTCGCCGCTTGTCTTTTCCCGCCTTTTTTTTCGTGGTTGTTATTTCCCCTCAGGCGTTTAAGCCTCATTGGAAGGTGATGAGGGGAAACATTCATGATTTTTAGGCCTGGTCTAACTATGAGAAACACTTACACACCTGCTCTGTTATTCTGGTGGGATAGGTAGCTGTGTGGCAGCAGAACAAAGTTGGGAGGCCAGGGACACCTTTAAGACCAACAAAGTTTTAGTCTGGGCATCAGCTTTTGTGTGCAGGCACACTTCTTCAGATACAGTGGAACAACACACCCTCAACCATTATATATAGGTAGAGAGCCAGAGCGTGAGGTGGGTTAGTTGCCAGGAAGGGCCATTTAGAGTCAAGAAAGATGCATAAATACTGGGTGATTATAGCTGAGATTGGATGTAAGAAAGGTCTGTGAATGGCAGTAGATTAGCATACAAATACAAGAGCTAACAAAACAGATGCAGGAATTCGGCTTGAGTCCAGTGGCACCTACAGGACGAAAGTTCAGTTCTGGGTACAAGTGAGAACTGAGAGACTTACTTTGTACATGCCTTCAGATTCACTGAAACAAATTTCCTCAAATATTACATAAAGGGGTGTGTGTGTTAGTTTTCAGGAAGAGCTAATTAGAGTCAAGATGCCTAAGTAACTGAGGAATAAATACAGCTAAAATTGGAATAACACATTATGTAAGACAAGTAAACAGCAGTAAATTTGGTATACAGATAATAAAGGAGTTAGCAACAGATGTGGGAACTAAGTTTGAGTCCAGTGGCACCTTTAAGACCAACAAAGTTTGATTTCTGGGTATACGTGAGATAGTGACTTAGCATATGTAGAGAGATAAGAAGCTGATATCTCTGTTAAGTCCCAGGGGTTCCATTGTTCTGAGTGTTGTAATAATTTGTAATTTGGCAATCTCTCACTCCCTTAAAACACTAGCACTCTTGCAGTATTTTGTTTATTTAACAGTGTCTGATAATTGACACCTTTTGCTTTGAATTATTGCATCAGAATGTCTGTGCTGTTGCAATCTTTTTTTTTAACCAAAACAATTTTTATTTTTTAAACAAATAAAAAATAACAATAACAATAAATCACAGGTTTTCACAATATACAACAAGTACACTCAAAAGTAAATTGAATATTGATATAACATTGAAGAATAAAGATTGTACAATAATTAGCCGTATAACAATAATTTGAATTTAGCATTCGTAATTGATTCCCAGTCAAAACTATCAAAGGTGAGTTTGTCTATAATAGGGTACCATTTTCCTGTTGGGTTGTATAGTTCACATTCATTTTGCTCTGTAGTGTTATATATTGAAATAGTTTCGTACATGAAAAAGTCCCATATTTTAAATAACCAGAGGTTTATAGATGGGGGTTGTTTATCCCTCCATTTCGTTGCTATGACATTTTTGACTGCTTTTATTAAAATATTATGTTGCAATCTTGATAGGGTTGCCAAGTCCTCGCTGTATGTAGAGCGGGGGACTCCAGTGCTGGTGTCAGCAAGCTGCCATGGTGTTCTGTGTACTGGTCTCTGTACAGTTGTTCCAACCCTTCCCAGGGCCACAATCATCTGAGGGAAAACCATAGAGTTTTCCTTCGGATGACCGTGGCCCCATGCCCGACGCAACTGTGTCACTTCCGGGTGACGCACTGACGCCGAGCACGTTGCAGGCCTGACAGAAGCCCTCCAGGGGCCTGATCCGCCCCCCAGGCCACATGTTTAACACCCCTGAACTAGCCTTTCCGGGCAACTAGACCTCCCCACCTTCTCTCTACCTATATATAATGATTGAGAACATGTTGTTTGGGTTAGAGTCCAAATTTACCATAGAGTTTTGCCCAAAAACTAGAGTGTCGCTGTGCAACATCAGCGTTGCAATGACGTCACTTCTGCGTGACGTCATTGTGCTGCATTTTGGGGTATTTGCGGGCCGTGGAGAGGGGCCCACAAAAGCAGGGGAAACCCTGCCCAGACCGGGGCGCTGGCAACTCTAACACGAAAGCTGATACCCAGAATTAAACTTTGCTGGTCTTACAGGTGCCGCTGGACTAAAACTTTGTCCTAATGCTTCAGACCAACATGGCTACCCACCTGCACCTACAACTTTGTAAGTGCCCACTACTCCCATGTTGTTTAAACATGCCAATGTGTGTGCATTCTTCCAAAATGTGCCACGATTTCTGGCTACCTCTTTCTGGCATGATAACATGGCTTGCGGTAGCGGCTGACAATTAGGGGTGTGAACTTATTTATTTTATTCATGTATGGTTTTTTTAAAAAATTCATTTTATAGAAGACAAACAAAAAAGACAAAAAAACCTACATACAAAAATTGGGGACTATCGTTACATCATTAAATTGTCTATTTAGTTACCTCATACAATATCTAATTATATTTTTGTTTGTTCCACATTGTATTTTTATATAAATCTTTTGCATATGATTAAAAATATAGTTTGTCTCGGAGATACTAGTTTTTTACTCCGCATCTTTGGCGGGAAGCCTCGGGTTAGCCACGGGAGCTCTACGCTTCTCAGATGTGGCGCTGTGATCGCGCCCGGAAAATCCACCTGTCTTCCGTCTCTGTAGCGTGGCTAATGCTCTGTGTGACCACAGCCAGGATCTGGGTTGTATAAACCAAGCATAAATGTTAACATGACACATTAAAGTGATGCAAAATTACACCGCTGGGGGCTCTCAGCAGGATATACTTCCGTAGAGTCCATCTGCCAAAACTGCCCTTTTATCCAGGGGAACTGATTTTGGTCACCTGGAGATCAATTGTAATCCCAGGAAAACTCCAGGTCTCAGCTGGAGGCTGGCAACCCTAGCTGCCTGGCATGTGCAAAAATCGCAGAGTCGGACTCGACTGTGCGACTGAACAACAACAAAAAATCCTTCTGTTCCATTTGGCATCATGTGGACTGTGCTCTGAACATTTGCTAATAAGTATGTTCCTGCTGTGTAATTTCTGCTTCGCTTAACGTGTCTTGTTTAAATGTCTATGCTTTGTTTCGGATTTCTGCGAACCAAACCCTGTCTGAGCATCTGAAGTGTTATAACAGCAGTGTAATTAGATGTAAGGAGTAGCTGAGGGACTAATAAGTATTCCCCATTCGTCGAGACTGGCTGTTGATACCAATGGGGAAACCGAAGTTTCAGTGAAAAGGCATCGATGCAGTTAGGTAATGTATCTGCCAGCTGCTTTGAAGTAATCAAAACGGCTGGGGGTTGGGGTGTATTTCTTTTCTTTAGTTTAATTATATATTGTTTCCCTCTCTATAGATAAATTAATCGTTTTGTTCTTGACTGTCTTAGTTGAGATTATATAAAATCCATGCAAGAACTACATCTTCGGTCCAGGGTATGATTGCTTTCCGGCAGGGCTATTTTTGGGCAGGAACGCACAGGAACGGAGTTCCGGCTGGCTTCCAAGTTGGCCACGCCCAGTAGGAACTCATTAGCATAATAGGCCACACCCAACACCAGAAACTCATTAGGATTGGCTACATTAGGGGTATGTGGCCTAAAATGCAAAGGAATTCCTGCTACAAAAAAGGCCCTGGGTTTTGACAACAAACAAGGTAAACAGAATAAGAAGCAAAAGGTGGGTGTGGCTGGATGAGCACACTTCTGGTAATATGGGGGTGTGGCCTAATATGCCAATAAGCTGTGCTGTCAGGGGTGTGGCCTAATACGCTAATGAGTTTCTGCTGTTGGGTGTGGCTTATTATGCTAATGAGTTCCTGCTGGGCTCTTTCTACAAAAAGAGCAGGCTTTCCGGCCTTTTCTTACACCCATACGATTCAGAGACCTGTATTCATTACAAAACCCTGACCTTTACCTGTTTTTTGGCCTGTTGAGGATATGCAGAATTATGCCTGCCCGCCCTATATTTCCATTCGGCTCACAGTCCTCAGGATTAAGGGATACCCTCCATCTGTGCAAACTAAGGATGCCAGCCTCCAGGTGGGACCTGGGGATTCCCCAGAATTGCAGCTCATCACCAGACTACAGAGATCAGTCCCCCTGGACAAAATGGATATTTTGGAGGGCGGACTCTATGGCATTGTACCCCAGTGTTGTCCCGGTCCTCCACAGGCTCCATCCCCAAATCTCCAGGAGATTCCCAACCCAGAACTGGCAACCCTACCACACCCCAAACCCCTCTAGAGGCCAGGGATGACCTGGCAATGCTAGTTCAATTCCAAGTAAACTCTACTAAAGCTGACCAAAGGTCAGAATTCTGTTTCCAGCTCAGTCTAACCGGAGGCCTCTCGAGGTCTTAAGCAGGACATGATGCTAATAGATAGGGGTCATTTCGTAGAAAAAGAGGAGCAGGAGCTCATTAGCATCACATTAGCATAATTCATTTGCATATGCCACACCCCAACATCACCGGAAGTGTGTCAGAAGGCAACACCCACCGCTCAGGCTACACTGGACTGTTTTGGATCTGTCTGGGGAACGTGCAGATCTGTCCTCGCAGAGGAGGGAGAGCTTGTACTTGAATAAAATTTGGTCTTAAAGGTGCCACTGGACTGTTTTGGACTGGGGCCCCGGGGGGAGCTCTGCAACTTACCTGGCTGCTTCTTGCTGTGATTGAGGGCTGCTGGGAGCAGGGGGTGGGGCTTGTGGCATGTGCCCGCCCCCTGGGCTCTTTACTGCCGGAGCTCCGCTCCTGTGCACTCCTGCAGGAAATGACCCCTGGAGAAAATGGAAGCTTTGGAGGGTGGACTCTGTGGCATTATACCCTGCTGTGGCCCCTCCCCTCCCCAGACCACTCCTTCCCCAGACTCTA